TCAGCTGAAAGGACATGCCTGTTCCTTTCGTGGTAACTCTGGTGGTGAGGTTGGATTGTGGGGAGGTGACATCAGTCACCAAAACTGATGCGAAGGTGGAAAAAGGTGCAGATTTGCTTGCAGTTTTTTTTGGGGGGGGGAGAAAAATGCTCTTTCTGGGTCATCTCCCGAGCAGAAGAGGTGGATCTTAACCAGGTGGACGTTTGATGCTGTTTATTTTATAAACGTGTATGACACCTTCAGCACGAAGTATCCCTCAGCTGGTTGCCTGGGAGAGGAATGTTGTGTGGGCAGGGACCCAGGAATTTAGATTATGACCCAGAGGGGTTCATAGTGAAATGATGCATTAGCTTGGACCGAAAATGAATCTGATCTTTGCTGATACAGGTTGGTGGTTTGCACCCTTAGAATAACAGAGTTGGAAAGGAGATCTTCTATTCAACCCCCCCCCCCCTGTTTACAGGAAACCCTATCCCAGAGGTCCCAAACCTTTTGGGCACCAGGGACCAGTTCCGTGGAAAGAGGTTTTTCCACGGACCGGAGGGGGCGTGGTTTTGTGTGCTGCCTGCATCCCACGGATGGGGCTTTGCTTGTTTGTGTGGACTGGTTGCTGGCATGCCTTGGCCCGCTACCGGTCCACGGACTGTGGGTTGGGAACGCCCATTTCAGACAAATGATTATCCAATCTCTTCTTAAAAACTTCCAGTGATGGAGCTCCCACGACTTCTGGAGGCAGGCTGTTCCACGGGTGAATTGTTCTAACTATCAGGAAGTTTCTCCTTAGTTCTAGGTTGCTTCTCTCCTTGGTTAGTTTCCATCTGTTGCTTCCTGTCTGGCCTTCAGGCACTTTGGAGAACAGCTTGACTCCCTCTTCTTTGGGGCAGCCCCTGAGATATTGGAAGAATGCTATCATGTCCCCCCTCGTCCTTCTCTTTATTAAACTAGACAGACCCCATCCCAGTTTGGTCTCTGAGAAGCCAGAAACTATTCTGATCTGTTGAGTAGCTCTGGTTGAATTAAAATGGGTGTCCTTTAATTCGATCAGGGTTTCTCAACCTTGGCCACTGGACAATGGATGGACTTCAGTTCCCGGAATTCCAAGGCGTTCGCCCATCTTCCAGCTACCAAGGCTGAGAAATTGAACTGAACAGCATTCAATTCAATCAAATTCAATGGAACAGAAGATCCTGATTTTAAATCTCCCGTTGCAGCAGTGATCGGCTTCGTGGATCATTTCTTAGAATAAGCTAGTGGGGGTTTTGCAGTTTTCTGACGTTTTGTGAATCTGACTTCCCCCTTGATTTTGCTTGTCGGACGGGGGCAAAAGAGGACCAGAGACTGCAGCGGTCAATAAATGGGAACCAGCTGCCACATGTCTGAATTTTGATCCCGTGATCCTGGGGTATGCTGCAGCGGTTGTGAAAAAAGGTTATAAGTCACTTTTTTCAGTGCTGTTGCAACTGTGAGCGGTCACCGAATGAACTGCTGTAAGTATTGTGTCACCCTAGTAGTCCTTCTCTAGACTTTCCCGGTTCCTGCAATTTTTTTTATTGTGTGGTTTAGCCTCCAGCCCCCTAATCAAGGAAGTCTCAAATACATTAAGCTCGAAGGCCTCTCTCTCTCTCTCTCTCTCTCTCTCTCTCTCTCTCTCTCTCTCTCTCTCTCTCTCTCTCTCTCTCTCTCTCCCAATTTGAGTTGCTGGCTGGGGGGATTCTGGGACTTGAAGTCCAGCCCATATGGAAGGTCCCGGTTAGATCCTCTGCTTCAGTCCAGCTGTCTATGAATTCTTTCCACCAGCTCAAACATCCTTCGCTCCCATTTCAGGCAGTTTAATCATTAACGTGGAGAGCAAGATGTTGAAAAGCATCTGTTTGCTGAAGGGTGAGATTACGAGGAGGCTGGGCAGCTGAAGCTACTGTGCAAACGGTGGAGAAACAGAGGAAGGGAAGCTGGAGAGGGAGAGAGAAGAGGGGGAACTGTGTATCTCAACCGTGATCCCCTTCCAGATGGGGGGGGACTGCAATTCCCAGAATCCCCCTGAAATCCAGACATCTTAAAGGTGCTGGCCAGGAAGTTCTGGGATAAAGTAAGGCCAGCCCTGTTTGGCCAACTGGATTAAAGTTAAGGTTTGAATTGGAATTTCTGGATCAGTGGTTCTCCACCTGTGGGTCGGGACCCCATTTGGGGTCGAACGGCCATTTCACGGGGGCCACCAAACAAGGCTGTCCGCCATTTTTTCCCCCTTTTCTTTGGCCACGCCCCTGGCACCCGGTGATGTATAAGTGGTTGGGGGGTCACCACAACATGGGGAACTGTATTATGGGGTCGTGGCATTAGAAAGGTTGAGAACCACTGTTCTGGATGAAATTCTTGTTTTCCTTTATTTGTCTTTTGTTCAGGAGCTTTATGAAGCCTACAGAACCACAGCCCTAGCGGGGAGGCCAGCCTGAGAAAGTATGATTTGGGCCAAAGTCCTACAGAGGACTAGAATCTGAGTCCTCCCACAGCTCGTTCAACACACAGCCTCCCAGAATTCCCATCTTCAGGGTTTGATTCTCGGCTTGTATAACTAGATTCATGCAGGACGCTACCCCCGAGACTCAAGGGAACAAACCAGAAATGTTGTGTTGACATGTTTTGTACAAGCAATTAAGCCGTATGTTGGCTTAACTCAGGGCTTCTCAGTTGTGGCCACTGTAAGATAGATGGACTGTGATGGCTGGGGGATTCTGGGAGTTGAAGTCCACATATCTTCAAGCAACCAAGGTTGAGAAACACTGATTTAGATCGTCATCTATGGCGGCTTGGAGAATGTCAGGTGAAAAGTTGGATTTGTGAGTCTCTTCCATAAACCCTTATATTCCTATTGAGCAGGGGTCTTCAAACTTGGCCCTTTTATGACTTGTGGACTTCAACTCCCAGAATTCCTCAGCCAGCGAGGAATTCTGGGAGTTGAAGTCCACAAGTCATAAAAGGGCCAGGTTTGAAGACCCCTGCTCATTGATCTGCTTACTTGAGGAGTTAGAGCGGTGTGTCTCAACCGGTTTGAGGAATTCTGGGAGTTGAAGTCCACGTGTCTTCTAGCCAAAGCTTAACATGATGGCCTTTTTCGCACACATTCAGACAAGAACTAGTTTTCCATAAGGGGATGAATCATCAACTATTCAACCTCCTTTCGGCTTGTTCCACTGTGTTTTGCAAATCCAACCTTTGCGTGAAGGTGAATTTTGTAGTGTTAGGGGAGATGTAGTACCATATAATAATGCTATCTTCAGCGGGCTGTTTGACAAGACCATCCTTTCGATGTCTTTTGCTTCCTTACGTCTTTGTTTAATTTCCACTGCTCAAGAGACAAGTTTCTCCAGGCCTTCTACCGAATTTGGGTTTTCAGTCTTTTGGGGTCTTGCCTTTGTAACTCCTGTGGCTTTTACTTTTGTAGATAATTTTATAATATGCTGATAATTTCATAATGTGGTGTTTTGGTCACCACCGTATAAAAAAAGATGTTGAGACTCTGGAAATTGCACAGAAAAGAGCAACAAAGATGATTAGGGGCCTGGAGGCTAAAACATACGAAGAACGGTTGCAGGAAATGGGTCTGTCTAGTTTAACGAAGAGAAGGACGAGGGGGGGATATGATAGCAGTCTTCCAATATCTGTGGGGCTGCCATAAAGAAGAGGAAGTCAACTTATTTTTCAAAGCGCCTGAAGGCAGGACAAGAAGCAACAGATGGGAACTAATCAAGGAGAGAAGCAACCTAGAACTAAAAGAGAAATTTCCTGACAGTTGGAACAATTAGCCAGTGGAACAACTTGCCTCCAGAAGTTGTGGATGCTCCATCACTGGAGGTTTTTAAGAAGAGACTGGACAACCATTTGTCTGGAATGGTATAGGGGTTGGCAAGGGGTTGGACTAGTTTAATCTAGAAGACCTCCACTGTCCCTTCCAACTCTGTTATTCTTTTAGATTGTTGGTTTTATTTACAGTACGTTAATTTAAAAATCCGCCTGGGGAACTTTGCTGCAAAAGATGGGTTGTAGGTAAAATGCCTTATCTTTGCAGGTAAAACCAATTCTATCCTCACGTGAATATGAGGGGGGGGGGGAAATATCTGAATTCCCTTTTCCTATTCTCTGTGTGGGTGGCTTAATAAGTAATGAGAATATTTGATGTCCACGTGGGACCTGTTTTTCTTCTGAAGTCTGCTTTGCATATCATGATCTGTTCTCACGTGGAGAGGAGGTGGCTTCCAGGTGAAGGAGGCAGATTCATGACAGGCCTTAAGCAAGCAATACTTTACTCCTTAGGCCGCCTGGTCTTTCTCCACAAGAAGCGATTGTGATACCCAGAGCAGCTTGTAGAAGCAAAGCAGGTGCATTAAATACACTCTTTAGTTACCACTAACTGGAACTTTATGCCCTGTGAACCTCGTAGAACCTTGAACTAGAAGTATAACAGAATGACAGACTTGGAAGGGACCTTGGAGGTATTCTAGTCCAGCCCCCTGCTCAAGGTGGAAGCCCTGTACCATTTCAGACAAATAGTTGTCCAATCTCGTCTTAAAAACCTCCAACGTTGGAGCACCCACAACTTCTGCACAGCTTGTCGGCCCAAAGAGGAGAGAAGCTCATTCAATCTCTCACAACCTCACCAAGTTTGGTGACTCCTCAAAAGCTAGCTTGCCGCTTACGAGAAGAACACGCCATCTTGGAAGTTGGTGACCCAGGGCCTTTCTCAGTTAGTTCAGGCACTTGATCCTACAAGCAGACTTGAATTTCTGGAGATCATGTTTAGATCAACCTTCTCCACTCAGGTGCCTCCTAGAGACATAATCCCATCTTCTCCAGCTTACACAGCCTCGGGATAGCCGGGCTGCTGAGTTAGCGCTGGAGCCGTAAGCTTGGTGGACCTCACTTGTGGGGAAAGCAACGGCCGAGGTTGATTTGAGGGGGGTGGCCTTCCTTTGCCCTGATCCTTCTTCTCCGCCGTTTCCCCCCAGTTACATGGTTCGGGTGCGCGCTGTGGTGATGACCCGAGACGACTCCAGCGGCGGTTGGGTACCCATGGGTGGTGGCGGCCTAAGCCATGTGACCCTCTGTAAAGTCCCGCACCCTGACGAAGGGCAGCGCTGCCAGTACCTGATCAACGGGGAGCGCCTCCGGGACCAGACGGTGAGACTGACAGGATGGGGAGACGGGACAGAGGGAGACCGTTGCAAACCAAAGAGATTAAGAGTACATTAGAAGACCTTCCCTCTCCTTCCATGGCAGGAGGTGATAGAGCAGGGGTCCCCACTCTCTGGGGCGCAGCCCACTACCAGTCCGTGGCCTGTTCATAATCGGGCCACTGGCTGGTGCGTGCATGTGTGCGCACAGCCCCAATTCACACGAGCATTGCGGACGCTCATGGGCCCCACTCGCATGAGCAACGGGTGCTCGCACGCATGTGCGCATGCACCTACCCCTCCCAGAAGACCATCCCTTCTTTCCTTCCCTCTGGGCTGCCAACTCAGAAAGGTTGGGGAACTCTGACAGAGCATGAGGGGGGATGCGGCCTTTAACCCAGTAAGTCTGCAGCAGTCCTTAATTTAGGATGTTAATTTTGGCTCAAGTGACTTCCCCATCATCCCCAGCCTTAACGCCAGGGACAAAAGTCAGCTTTTCTGCACATTTAGGTCACTGTAGTCTTGGTGGGCAGCACGAGGTAGGCGGGGGGAGGTATCCTTCGATTGTTCTTCCCGTCATCCACTCTTCATCCTCCTCCTCCTCCTCTTCCTTCCTGTCCTGCAGACCATCTTGGAGTGTACCTTGAAAAGGGACCTGGTCTACAACAAGGTGAACCCCATTTTCCACCACTGGAAAGTGGGGGACAACAAATTTGGCCTCACTTTTCAGAGCCCTGCAGACGCGGTGACTTTTGAGAAGGGCGTGCAAGCCGCTCTGAAGGAGATCACGGAAGGTGAGGGGACTACAGGAAAAATGGAGGGGGGAGGCAAGGGGGGGGGCTACCATGCTATGCAACTGAGCCATTGTGGAGTATGGCAGCTTCCTTTCAGCCCGTCACAGTGGAAAATTTCAGGTTCAACGCTGGCAACATCGATCAACTTCTCATAGGTGTTTTTTCTCTGACTCCACTCTGAAATAGGAGTGATTTGTAAACACGTTGTAGCGTTATAGTGATTACTACAGAGAGTTATTGAACTGTTGAGTAACAGCACTGTCTTCTACCAGGGTTTTGTCATACTCAAAATGGACACAGGAAACACAGGAGAATTTCTTGAAGTAGCTTAGACAATTTAGGAGTTCATTCTGGAATTCTTATTCTTATTCTTATTCTTATTCTTCTTATTATTATTATTCATTGTACAGTCAGCCAGATGTTCAGACTAGATCTGGCATTTTTATCCATTTATCGAGTCCTTCCCAAAGACCTGGGATAGGCAGATGTGGATGTTTGATGGTGTTAGAGGTGTCATCCCAGGACGTAAGCTGTTCCGAGTAAAGCTGCCTTTTGCAATTGACTGATGGTGATGTTATCAATGCCGAAAGTGGAGCTCCAGTTCTCTTGGGATTGCAGCCTCGGAACCTATCACTACTGATGTTATTATTACTATTTGAAATATATAATAGCCGGCAGCTCCCATAGATTCACGGCAGGATGCAAATCCAAAACATACACAAACCCCCCCCCCCCAAAATTAAAAACAAACAATTACAAACCAAACTAGAGGCACTTTTCTTAAATTTTCTTATAAGCCAGCCAAGCCCTGAAGAATGTATTTTCATTTTTTCCCCTCATCTTTGCATATTTCATTCAGGATAAAGGCCTATCATTGTATTTTTTTTTTAAAGGACTTTGGTATAATTTTGTGCACATATTTAGATTATTTTTTTTTACTTCCATCTTCCAGGTTCTTTTTCACCTTGCTCCAGTGCCACCGGCTCCTCTTCCTCCTCCGAGGATGAAGCAGCTGGTCGGGACGAAGCCCTTACTGTGAGTCGGTTTTCTACTTCAAATTGAATGTTTCTGATTATTGTAAAGCGATTTTTCTCATGTGTGTTAGCCAAGGAAGGCTTGAATTGAAAAACAACTTTTTTTTAAAGCAAGTTTCTGCCCTTTGGATGGCCAGAGTGAGGTTCAAATCATGCTGCAGTGCCTGATAATACAGGTGGTCCTCAGCTTACAATCATTCTTTTAGCAACCATTCGAAGTTACAATGGCACTGGGAAAAATGATCTGCCACAGGGAATTGCACAGCAGGTGTCCAAATAAAGTCAGAGACGTTGAACTTGCAGTTTTATATAAATAAATATATTTTACATCAACATATACAGCAAACTAGATCATGAGAATCATGAGGTAAACGGGAATCATGAGGTAAATGGGAATCATGAGGTAAACGGGAATCATGAGGTAAATCACAGAATACCAAAGAAAAGGCGGGAAAAAAGGGAAACTTCCCCTCCACATCCAAAGCAGCCAATTACAGTGCAGCTTGCCTCACGCAAGAGTCAACACTCTTCAACCGGTCAACCATAACTGTGTGTTCTGGCTCAACCCCATTGCTCCAGCTGCGAATTTAAATATCTTAACACTCGTACTTACAACCGTCGTACCACCCCCTGGTCACGTGATCACAATTCGGGCACTTGGCAACCAATTTGCCTTTACAACCAGTTGAGGCATCTTGTGAACATGTGATTTTTTTTTTTTTGTCCTTTTCTAGCAAAAAACACCCCCATGCAAAAGAATGGATATGCACTTGCAACCATGGATTCGCTTAATAACCATGATGATTCACTTAACGGCCATTGTAAAAATGGTGGTGAAATGGGATCTGACTCGACTTATGACTATGATGATGTATGACAGAACTTCTGATCTCAATTGTAGTTATCTCTTGAGGACTACCTGTAGCAGTAGTGATACTTGGTTGTCATCTCTAGGTGTTTGAGGTCACCATGAAATCTGGACTTTCACAGCCAAAGAGCCCAAATTGGCAGAAGCTATGGGCGTCTTGACCAGGTTTCATGAAAAATCCATTTTTTTTTAAACTTTATAGGTAGCCCCTGACTTATGATGAGTTGCTTGGTTACAACCAATCTGAAAAAGGGTAGTTATGTCTTGGATTCAAATTTCTAGTGGTCGGGCTCCCTTTCAGATATTCAGCAGCCTAGCAGCATTTCATGCCATTTGTAGCATCATCTGACCATTTTGGGAAAATGTCATTCACTTGATGGACAGGCTATAGTCATATAGTCCTATGTCGAGAACTACCTGTAAAAGTTGGTTCCTCATTTGGGCTCAAGTCTACCTTGTGCTAGGGCAGTGTTTCTCAACCTTGAAAATTTTAAGGCATGTGGACTTCAACTCCCAGAATTCCACAGCCAGCAGTGCTGGCTGTGGAATTCTGGGAGTTGAGGTCCACATGCCTTAAAATTGTCAGGGTTGAGAAACACTGTGCTAGGGGCAACTGAATGAAAAGCCATGAAGACCTGCTCTTGGACTCAGCATAACCTCTGCGTTGTGGCTTCTTTCTCTAGGTGCGCACGGACAGCGAGTCTTCCTCAAACAGCCAGAAGGAGATGCTCCCCAAACCCATCACCATTGTGACCAGCGAGTCCTCCTCCACCTGCTTCATTCGCACCCCAATTTCTGAAGAGTTCCCCTTCAGTTCAACACAAGGGGCAACCTCAGGTGGACCAGTGAGTAGTTAGGATCATTATCTCCTTCTCCTCTCCTCCTCCTCCATCTCCCTCGCCTCCTCCTCCTCCTTCTCCTCTTCCTGTTTCCTCCCCCCCTTTCCTGCTCTCTCCTCTCCTCCCCTCATCCTCGCCTTGTCTTTGTCCTTCTCTTCTCTCTCCTCCTCCTCCCCTCGTTGAATCCCCAGAGCATGATTTCCATCCTCTTCTTCTCCACCCCCACCCCCAGGTGCAAGCCGAGCCCTTGCAGCAGCTGACTCTCCCAGAGGAGCAGGAGCTGGAGAGCATCACCCCTTGTCCCTGGGTCACCAAAGGCTACGAGGACTACCGGCGGGCTGTGGTTCAGAAGCACCAGCCAGACCCGGACAAGATCGACCTGTGCGTACACTTTCAGAAGGGCGGAAGGGGCAGCCAATCCCCCAGGGAGAAGGAGTACAGCTTCCCCCCTGGAGCCGAAGGGCAGCTGAAGGACCCCAAGACCTCACCCTCCTGCCGGATCCACGGGGCCTCCTCTCCCATGAAACATAAGCCGCTGAAGGAGCAGCAGCAGTCACCGCAACCGCCCCCTGGAGTGATCATGGGCATGGAAGAGGACACGGTGCCCTCGCGGTGCGTCTACTGCCGGGACGTCTTTAACAATGAGGAGAACGGGCGGGGACAGTGCCAAGATGCGCCGGACCCCATCGGCCACTGCGTCTACCAGTTCACTTGTATGTGGTGCGCCGAGAGCATGCTGTACCACTGCATGTCGGACTCGGAAGGGGAATACTCGGACCCTTGTTCTTGCGACACCAGCCACCCGTACTTCTGCATCCGCTGGCTGGCTCTGGCCACCCTCTCCTTGGTGGTCCCGTGCATGTGCTGCTACCTACCCCTCCACGCCTGCTACTCCTGCGGTGAGCGCTGTGGTTGCTGCGGTGGCAAGCACAAAGCCGTCCGGTGAAACTGAGCGATTCCTCGGCGCCCCGTTTGGTTTTTTCTGCCACCCAGGCCGCAGCGGGCGTAAGCCAGGCGGCTTTCCTCCAAGATGGAGGCTTGCTGGGGTTCCAGTCCTTCCCCCAGCCAGCCAGCTCTCCCCCTCCCACACTTCCTTTCATCCCTTTGGGGAAAAGGACCCCTGGTGAGGATGGTTGGTGGCCCTCCTGGGACGATTTTCTGTTCCAAAATTGGGACTTTCTTTATTGCCGGAAAGGAAAAGCACGACGCGCAGGTGACTCTGCAGTCAGATGTTGTTCTGGGTACGCACCAGGCATGTATTTTTCCCCCCTCCCTGCGATGTTCTCTCTAGGGGTCGTTTTTGGGGGGAGGGTTTATTTTAAGGAAGGGGAGGATGAACTCGGGAAAACAAATAAGAGGACTGTGCCGTAACTTCGTCCAAAGTTTACTATGAACTCCAAAAGCATCCCACGTGTTACCAATGTTAGTCTCTTTCATGAGCTCCGCCCGTCCTTACTACATATGTTTGGATGAGTCCAAGGCAGGCTTGGACAACCTCCACCGAGAAGGACCTCACCGGCCAGCCGTGTATTTTGGCAAATTCAATCAGACAGGTAAAACATTCCTTGCCTCCCCCTTTTCCTTTGCCACTCCCAATGTCTTCTTAAGATTGAGACGTGATAGCGTTGCTCGCGGGACCCAGGCTGAGTGGCTCACCAGGGTGAGGAGAAGATGGCTATTTGGGGGGGGATCGCGTTCTGTTCTCCTTTCCCCTTCCCGGCCCATCGTCGTCCATAGGTAGTCCTCGACTTAACGACCACAGTTGAGCCCAAAATTTCTGTTGCTGAGTGAGGCCTTTGTTAAGTGGGTCTTGCCCTTTTTTTAATGGCCTTTCTTAAAACTTAACAGTTGTTAAATTAACAAGGTTGTGAAATGCATCTTTGCTTGCAATAGTCGCTGGGACGCTGCAATAGTCGTAAATAGGAGTCAGTTGCCGAGCGTCTGAATTTTGATCACAGGACCACAGGGACACTGCAACGGTCGTAAATGTGAAAAACGGTCCTAAGTCGCTTTTTTTTTTCCAGTGCCGTTGTAGCGTTGAATGGTCATTACATGAACTGCTGTTAAGTCGAGGACGACCTGTATATTTTTTTTTGCCTGATGTTTAATGACGTGAACAAGAAGCGCTTGCTGGTAGGGTGGAGGGTCCGGAAGACGGGAGTGGTGGGTTTGTTTCCTTGCCGTTAAGTGAGCGGTTCTGAGCCCTCCCAGCCCCTCCCCCTTCTCCTCTTTCACCATTCCAGCTAGACCCGAATATGAATAGAAGACAGCTGGAAGGGACCTTGGAGGTCTTCTAGTCCAGCCCCCTGCTCAAACAGGAGAACCTATCACGTGAACAGGAGGATGCTGCTACAGTCGGAAATGTAAAAAACGGTTCACGGTCACTTTTTTCAGTGCCGTCGTAACTTTGGTCTGTTGTAAACTGAGGACTACCTGTCAAGGTAGTAAATCTACAGCTACAAAGGGCACCCGAATTTCTGTGGCTGAGCAAGGCGGTTGCTCAGCGAGTTGCATCTGATTTTTATGACCTAAGTGAATCCGCAGGGTTGTTAAGGGAACGGTGCCGTCGTTAAACAAATCCACCCCCCCCATGACTTTGCTTGTCAGGAATTGGCTAGGAAAGTTGCGAAACGGCGATTGTCATAAATACAGGGAGTCCTCGACGTATGATCACAATTGAGCCCAAAATTTCCGTTGTTAAGTGAGACATTTGTTAAACGAGTTTGACCACCTACCTCACCACAGTAGCTAAGTGGATCAGTGCAGTTGTTAAATCAGTAACTCAGTCATTAAGTGAGCCTGGTTTCCCCGTTCACTTGGCTTATCAGAAGGGGATCACGTGACGTTGGGACCCTGCAGCGGTCATAAGTATGAATCCCTGGCTGAGCCTCTGAATTTTGAGCACCTGCTACAAAGGTTGTAACTGTGAAAAACGGCCCTAACTTTTTTCAATGCCGTTGTAACTTTGAACGATCACTAAACTATTGTAAGTGGAGGACTATCTGTACGGGCTGGTTAGCCCACTGCTCAAAGGTTGACCATTTGACCGTCGGGATGCTGAACGGTTGTAAGTGCAAGGACTGGTTGTAAGTCATCTTTTTCAGTGCCTTTGTCACTTTGAACGAATGGTTTTGTAAGTCGAGGACTACCTGTAGATAAGCTGGTTGAGCAAAGGGGTTGGACTAGAAGACCTCCAAGGTCCCTTTCTATTCTCCTTCTCTGTTCGTCTTTTTTTCTCTCCCTGCTTTACCCGTTAGAACTGGGCACAAGCTTTTTCTGCACGTGTCTGGCTGGCAGACCCACGCACAACGTACAACGCCTGATGCAAACGTACAACCTTCTTTAACCCGGTTATATTTCTGTTAGACCAGTGTTTCTCAACCTTGACAATTTTAAGGCATGTGGACTTCAACTCCCAGAATTCCACAGCCAGCATTGCTGGCTGTGGAATTCTGGGAGTTGAAGACCACATGCCTTAAAATGGTCAAGGTTGAGAAACACTGTGTTAGAGGCTTCAAGGAAGACATGGAAGTGGGTAAACTTTGGTTCATAAAAGATATGTCAAGATGGGGTTTGGCTTAGCTGGAAAGATAAGATCTGGTTTGCACACAAACAAATCTTAGGTCTTCAGGTGGGCTGAGAAATTTTTTCCCCCTGAATCTTAAAAAAGACCTCTTCCTTGTTGGTCAACAATATTCAAGTCCAGCCACCAGTGCAATGAGAGCACTTAAAATACCACGAGTTCCATTTTTCAGAAATCCTCTAATTTAGCGCCACTTAGGTTTACCGTTTCCCGTATCTTCCCTGACTCAAAGCAAAAAGCAACATTTTTCTTGAATAACCCCAAGCTAATCTAAACTGTAGGAAGTATGTATGCAAAATAATCTGATAGGCAGACAGTAGGGTTTGCATAATTTATTTAAAGCAGATGTGTGGATTTCCTCTAGCAAAAGGCCAGATGGAAGAGATGTTTTTTTTTTCCTTAAATTAAAAAAAAAAAGAATAAAATAAAATCACCCAGGCTGTGTTTTAAAATCTGAGCATAAGGATCTTGATGTTTTGTAGGTGAGTTTTTAGGCATCTAGAGTAGTTAAAATTGTAGGCTGGTTCAGAGCTAGCGGAGGAGTGTCCAGCCCTGGCAACTTTTAAGGCCTGTGAACTTCAACTCCCAGAATTCTCCAGCCAACCATGCAGGCTGGGGGATTCTGGGAGTTGAAGCCCACAAGTCTTAAAAGTTTCCCAAGGTTGGACATCCCTGATGATCTTGGCTCGTTCCTCAATGCGGTCGTTTTTAAAGTCTGATTGAAAACATTTAAATTGGTAGTTTTTAACCTAAAATGTAAAAGGCCAGTTCTTATTCTTAAATGTTTTAAGTTTTCTGTCAGAACCCAATGGAAGAGTTTTAACGAAAGAAAGGATGTGTGATGGGTTAAGGAACTGGGGTTGCCTGTGAATACAAAGCAGAGAAGAGCACATTAAAAGCACGATTTCCTTTTATTGTTTGCCCATCCCAAGCAACAACAATTGAGCCCAAAACGTCTATTGCTAAGCAAGGCAGTCGTTAAATGAGTTTTGCCCCATTTTATGACTTTCCTTGCTCTAATTGTTAAGTGAATCACTGCATTTGTTAACTTAATCACATGTTTGTCTGACTTCCCCATGGACTTTGCTTGTCATAAGGCCGCAAAAGGTGATCACATGACTCTGGGACGCTGCAACTGTCATAAGTACATGTCAGTTGCCAAGCATCTAAATTTTGATCATGTGACCACGGGGATGCTGCAGTGATTTTAAGTAAAAAAAAAACAGTCATAAGTTGTTTTTTTACAGTGCCATTGTAACTGCAGACACTCAATGAATATTTGTAAGTCAAGGACTAGCTGTAGACCGGCGTAGGGTGTCTCCAGAATTTTAAAACTTGCATTTGTGGGATATGTAAAGCTTAAAGGACTATGAAAAGAACACAAAGAGGGGGAAAAAAAAATCAATGGATTTTCTCATTTCGGTCAAAATTTATTACGGGATAGATAACATATTCCAGTTTGAGGAAAGGAACATCTTTGGGGTGACTAAGATAGCGCCTACGTCCTGCCCCTTTAATATATACAATTCTACTTTTTTGTGATTTTTCTGGTTCTTTACGCCCGAAAGCAAAGCCGGCTCAACGTGGGTTGCTTCTGAGATTTTATACGGCTTGTTTCAAAAGGCTCCTCCCGCAGACAGGGTTCGGTTTACAGGGTATACACAAACACAAACGCACACCTTGTTATCTTCCTGTTTGTTATGTAGATCAGTTGGAGAGCACGTGTGTTCCTTGCAAAAGCCTGGGCTATGGAGGAAGAATTTTTCTCCCGTGCTTTTCACATGGCCTGACAAGGTTTTTCACTGCAGAATTGAGCTGCAGAAAATGGCACTTGGGGGGGCAGGGGATGGGGTCCAGTGGGAGGGACGGGGGGGGAGAGAAAAGCAAAGGGGCAGGTGGGCTTTCTTCCCCTTTTTGGCATCAATAATAATAATTATACAAGCTTCACTTTCTCCTGTGTTCCGTTTCAATGACATCTCCAAAGCACAAAAACCCGTCGAATCGTATTACGTCCTCGTTTAGTTAGGAAGTTTATTGATGCAACCCCAATATTGTTGTTTTATGTTTAAAGTCCTTCTGATGTAAATTATGCCAGATTCCAGTTTGCTGGCTGGATTCACAGTTTAAGCCCTTGAACGTTTAAGTGCTTCAAAGCACCCAAGAATGAGAACTATGTAGTCTTAAGGGAGAGGCGGGGGGCGGGGGGGGGGAGACGGTTCCAATCTTGGCAGCTTTAAGGCCTGTGGACCTCAACTCCCAGAATTCCCCAGCCAGCCATTCTGGGAGTTTTAAGTTAGGAACCCCGTTGTGAACTGAATCTTGACTTCTCCCACTGACTTCACTTGTCAGAAGGCTGCAAAAGGTGATCTTGGGATGCTGCAACCGTCATAAGTACATGTCAGTTGCCAAGCCTCTGAAATTTGACTGTAGGGATGCTGCGATGGCCATGAAGCGTGAAAAATGGTCATAGATCCCTTTTCCCCCCCTCAGTGCTGTTGTACATTTGGTCACTAAACGAATGGTTTGTTTGTTCAGCCAAGGACTACTCTGGTCAGCCTAAAATTGGGTCTAAATTAAGAGGGTTTTTGCCTTCCCCTCTTTCTATTCTTCGTGGTTCCAATCTCTCTTCTTAGCCACACAGATCTTATTCCAGCTAAATCCCATTCAGAGAATTCGCCGATAGAATTTTGCTGGCGTGTGTCCCATTTCCTCCTCTTTACGTTTCCAATTTCTTGCTTGGATCCAGAACGAAACTGGTAAAAGCCTGAATTTCACATGCTGCCTTCCATCCGTGGGGCAACTGCTTCAGCCAGCCATCCTCGGGGTTGCACAGAATCCGTTAGGATTGCACTCTCCGAAGGCCTAGATAAGAAGGCTGTGCTAAAAAGAGGGGCAGACCTTGAGATTGGCAATCGTGGCAGAGGGGGCGGAGGGGGTGTCCCACGCTGGGCCATTGCTTTCTTTTAGTTTTTTTGCAAAGGAGTCGACCGAAACCAAACCAGAAGTTTTACGTTCCATCTTTTTTTTTTCTTTCCCCCCCCTAATGTGGTTGCCAAGCTAATTTTCTTTCCTGTTTTAAGTATTTTATCCGATTTGTATATTCAGTATTGGGATTTCTGTGTGGCACAGAGGGCACTGGAAGAGAATGCTCTTATTATTTAAAACTGTACGATGTAAATTAAAAGGGAAACATTACACTTAACAGAAGCTAAGCCTGGCGTTTGGATTCTTCTCCTCACTTGCACACCGTTAATGGTTTCTTTCCAGCAGCACCACAAAGTGTCCCCTTTTTCTTTTCTACACCAATTTTAAAACTTTCACGGCATAATCCTTTTCTCCCGCTCCCCTCTAAAAATTTGGGCAGAAGTTAACATCCATTTCCTTGGATTGGAAAAGCCATCGTCGTCATCTAAGGCTAATAAACTACAGTCATGGTCATAAACCAAACTGACCAAGTTACTAGTCCACAAGAGTCTGTCTCACTCAGTTGCGATTCTTAAACTCCATACTTGACAAACGCAGTGGAATTCTGGCGGGTTGGTTTCATTATTTAAAATCTGAATTCAGTTTCCATCCTCTGCATCATACATCACACTTCTTGAATTCTTTTTGGTGAATTGAAGAAAGGGAGAAAAATGGTCATCTTTTATTTATTTATTGAATGCCTATTGCCACCGCTATCTCGAGTGACTCTGGACTGCTTACAATAGTGTTAAAACATACAAAGGCGTTTAAAACATTAACCTTAATGCTTTGAATGCCTTTATGTTTACGCTTTAATCACCTAGAAAAAAAAAACTGCTGTTCTAATTTATTGTTTAAATATATATTCCCGCCACTATCTCGAGGGACTCTGGGCGGCTTACCATAGCAGGAAAACATAAAAAGGCATTCAAAGCATTAAAATTAAGATGAACAACAGTTAAAAACTGGAAGTTAACGATAATGATGAAAGTTATTAAAACTGGAAGTTTTTATGAAGAGACTGGACAGCCACTTGTCCGAAATGGTATAGGGCAGTGTTTCTCAACCTTGACCATTTTAAGGCATTGTGGACTTCAACTCCCAGAATTCCACAGCCATGGCTGTGGAATTCTGGGAGTTGAAGTCCACATGCCTTAAAATGGTCAAGGTTGAGAAACACTGGTATAGGGTTTCCTGCCTGAGCAGGGGGTTGGACTAGATGACCTCCAAGGTCCCTTCCGTCATCATCATCATTATTATAAATAGAAAAAAAAAATTAGGGAGTTCTTTCAGCCTCTTAATACACTGAAGCACCAGAGTGCGAGTGCGTGAACCTCCCTCTGTGTGCATACAAGCGTGTTTGTGCCTACACACGTAAAACCTACGCCTCCCCAGCGAAGAAAGCTCGGCGTGGAAGGGAGCACTCTGCACGTGCTCAGAAGCCGGGCCCGTCGCTGAGCCAGGATGGAAGCGCGCGAAGGAACCAGGCGGCCAGCTGTTCCTCCAAAGGCCGCCCCCGCAGCCGGCCGCGCGCTCTGATTGGTCAACGATTGATACTTTTTTTTTTTCCCCGATACTCTCCTGTGTCTGGCACGTTGCCATGGAGAAGAGGGGGGGCGTCAGCGACGGCGCCTTCCCATTGGCTGACGAGTGTTGCGGGCGTTCTGAGGTGCGATTCTCTTTCGGAGGTTTTTTTTTTTTTTTCCTCCTTTTCTCCCCCCCCCTCCCTCCCGAACTCACCGTACCGCAAGACGGAACTCCCGATTGGCCGGGAAGAAAGCTAAGCACGGTGGGAGGAGCGCCTGGGTTGCTATGATAGCTGTCAGCCAATCCCAGGCTCCGCGCCGGGCCAGGAGCGCCTCGGATTGGCGGGGGAGAGAGAGAGAGAGAGAGAGAGAGAGAGAGAGAGAGAGAGAGAGAGAGAGAGAGAGGTCAAGCCCGTGCTATCATTGGCGGCCTTGGTGGGCGGTGTTTGACGTCTATAGGAAGAGCTCGGACGGCCTGGCCAATGGGGAAGGCCGCCTCTGCTTGGAGGGCGGGGCTACAGGGCTTGCGCGCCCAGCGGTCGGTTCGCGGGGAGGATTCCAGCGGAGCCATGGAGCTGGAAGGCGTCCCGGGGTGAGCGGGGGCGTGGCCAGGGGCTGGGGCGGGGCCTAGGGTCAGCCGCGCGGGGGTGGTGTGGGGGCGGCTGCTGGGGAAGGATTCCGGGGGGGCCTCTGCGCCCGCCTCCCCTTCTCAGCCTGGCCTACCTCGCAGGGTTGTTGTAGAGGAAGGCTGCAGAAGGAGCCCTGTGTGAGCAGGAGGTGGCGGGGGAGCTCTCGGACTCTTCTCCCCTGGAAGGCCCAAGGCTCAGGCCCCGGCAGGCCACAGAAGCCTCTGGACAGGAGGCCCACTCAGCCAGGGGGGGTCAGCCTATTCCCCAAAGCCCCTGAAGGCAGGACAAGAAGCAACGGATAGGAACTAATCAAGGAGAGAAGCAACCTGAAACTAAGGAGGGAGGGAGGGAAGGAAAGGAAGGAAGGAAAGAAGGAAGGAAGGAATAGGAATTAATCAAAGAGAGAAGCAACCTGGAACTAAAGAGGGAGGAAGTAAAGGGAGGAAGGGCAACGGATAGGAACTAAGCAAGGAGAGAAGCAAGCTGGAACTAAGGAGGGAGGGAGGGAGGGTGGGAGGGAAGGAAGGAAGGAACAAACGAACGACAAGAAGCAACGGATAGGAATTAATCAAAGAGAGAAGCAACCTGAAACTAAGGAGGGAGGAAGTAAAGGAAGGAAGGAAGTAAAGGGAGGAAGGGCAACAGATAGGAACTAATCAAGGAGAGAAGCAAGCTGGAACTAAGGAGGGAGGGAGGGAGGAAGGAAGAAAGGAAGCAAGGGCAATGGATGGAAACTAATCGAGAGAAGCAATCTGCAACTAAAGAGAAACTTCCTGACAGTGAGAACAATTAACCAGTGGAACAACCTGCCTCCAGAAGCTGTGGATGCTCCAACACTGGAGGTCTTTAAGAAGAGACTGGACAGCCATTTGTCTGAAATGGGATAAAGTTTCCTGTCTGAGCAGGGGGTTGGACTAGAGGACCTCCAAGGCCCCTTCCAACTCTGTTATTTTGTTATCCTGTTATTCAAGGTTTTATGAGTGGGTGCTTAGTGGTCTCTGAGCCAGATGGGTGACTTTCAGTTGTTTCATTCCCCAACTCACCAGTGCCAAGGAGCCTGTGGTTTGCACCCTAGCACTAATAATAATAATAATTAACAATTGTCAATAAGAAAGACAAGAACGCCTGGATAGCGGACCTAGGGACAGCAGAAGAACAAGACCTGTCAAAAAAAATCACAAAATGCAAAGACCTGCAAATAGAGGTAGAACAGGGGTGTCAAACTTGCAACGGTCGCGGTTTCGCTAGAATGCATCCAGCCCGCGGGCCACCCCTGATGTAGAACAACTGTGGCAAAAGAAAGCAAAGATTGTACCAATACAAAAGGTGCTTTGCCTGCAATCCCAAAACATCAGGCGCACCGCTTGAACCTCGTCGGCATTGACCGAGTCGCTGTCCGTCAATTGCAAAAGGCAGCTTTAGCAAGACCTTCAAGACCATAAGACAACATCTGCCTCGCCCGGGTCCTTGGGAAGGACTCGAAAAGTGAACAACAATGCCCAACCCAGTCGAAACGTAGAGTAACCTCCAAGTAAAAACTGCCTTCGGTAACGGACTGGTGCCGATTTTGCCAATGCCAGCGATGCTCAAGTGATGCTCCAGTTGTTTGGGGATTGCACCCAAGGGGCCTAGGACGATCGGTATTATCTTTGCTTTATTACTGTCATTATTTGTAGATTTCCGTCAATAGAAACCTTCGCCCAGGTGGCTGAAGCTGGGGTCTCCAGCCCTCCATTCATGACGCTCTGCTCCTGGCTGGTTTCAGAGCTCCGAAGTCTTTGTAAGCTGGAGGAGGACGTTAGCCCCGTGCAGGGTAAGTTCCTTGGCTGTGTGAGAGGGGAAGGGCGGTTCCCATCAGGGCCACATGGGGCTTTGCGGAGATGGGACTTTGGACTGTGTCTCAACCTACAGAGTAAGTGGAGGAACAAACCTGACTGATCTAGATCAGCGGTTCTTAACCTTTTTGAACGAATCGCCCCCTTGAGCCAATGAGGAAGTTGTCATCGCCCCCCTCCCCCAACGTAACCTCTCAATCACAACCTAGGAAATAATTCTTCAATTTATGCAAACCCTTTTTTTAATTTTCTTTAAAATTGTCATCAGGACATATCAATGCAAATAATTTATTTCCATTCTTTTTCCCGTATCTCCCATATTCTGGCCAATGGCACGCCACTGTATGGGTAGAGGCTGCTGCGCAACGCGCATGAAGATAAGCGATGCGTCTTCACATATGTACGGCGTTCTGTACTGAAGCTAGCTGGAGGAACATTTGAAAACACAATTCAGTCCACTAATAATGATCATCTGAAGTTTTTGTATGACAGATATACAGCGATTCACTGTATGAAAAAGTCTCAAAAGTGTCCCCAAAACTTCTTGCTCCATCGCCCCCATATCGCTCCCTTTTTGTTCCTTCGCCCCCGCATCACCCCTTTTCATTCCATCGCCCCCCCTGAAAAATGAAATCGCCCCCTGGGGGGCAATGTCGCCCAGGTTAAGACCCACTGATCTAGATCATGTGAAAGAACGGAGAGTACAAAGAATATGGGAAGGGAGGGAGGGGGAAGGGAAGAGAAGAGGGGGGAAGGCAGGCAGGAAGGATAAGAGGAAGGAGGGTGGGAAGGAAGGAAGGGGAAGGGAAGAGGAAGAAAAGAGATGGAAGGGGAAGGGAAGGGATGGAAGACGGAAAGCTACAGATGATCAGGGCACTGGAGGCTAAAGCATATAAGGAATGGCTGTTGGAATTGGATATGTCTAGTTTAATGAAGAGAAGAACAAGGGGGGACATGATAGCAGTGTTCCAATATCTCAGGGGCTGCCCCAAAGAAGAGGGAGTCAAGCTCTTCTCCAGAGCATCTGAAGGCAGGACAAGAAGCAATGGATGGATGGAAATCAAGGAGAGAAGCAACCTAGAACTAAGGAGAAACTTCCTGACAATTAGAACAATTAACCAGTGGAACAACCTGCCTCCAGAAGCGGTGAATGCTTCAACACTGGAAGTTTTTTTAAGAAGAGACTGGGCAGCCATTTGTCTGAAATGGTGCAGGGTTTCCTGCCTGAGTAGGGGGTTGGACTAGATGACCTCTAAGGTCCCTTTCAACATCATCATCATCATCATCATTATTTATTTATTTATTTATTTATTTATTTATTTATTTATTAGATGAGCAACTCAGAAAGGTTAAGAATGAGCAGAGGCTAAAGGGGAGGTGATAGCAATCTTTTTAAAAAAAAATAATAATAAATCATTCTGATCCCAAAGATGCTTTTTCACAAGGCAACCGGACTTTTTTGTTTTTCTTTGAAGACGTTCCGCTTCTCATCAACAAAAAAAACAAGAAAGTCCAGTTGCCTCGTGAAAAAGCATCTTTGGGGCAGCTGTGACCTGGGTGACTGAGACTCTGATTCTATAAAACTCTATACTATTTTACCCTATCAGGACCTGAGGATGCCGAGACATTTCAGATTGAAATCAGCGGCCTTCTCGGAGAGCTGCACTGCCCATATCCTTCGCTGACCACAGGGGATCTAATGGCGAGGCTCAGCGCCCGAGACAGCCGCCTGCAGCTTCTGTGTAAGTCGAGAGAGACTGACAGAATTGGTGCATCGCACTACGCCATCGCTGGCTTAGCTGTGGTTTGTGAATTTAAACCCAAGTGGCTCCCATCAAACAAAGCAGCAGGCCGTCCACCAGGACTTCCAAACCACAAGCGGAATTTCCCGTCCTTATTCTGCACAGGTGCTGCCTGGAAAGGCTGGTTGTAATTGCCGAGTTTCTTGGCAGTTTAATACACAGAGGCGTTACAATTGGGATCTCGAGGCTTGTGAGTTTGGGGAAAGGAAACTAATCTTCTGAATACTGAATAAAAACAAACTCACACCCTCTAGCATTGAAGAAGCTACCTAGTTGGGTGATAAAATGTCTGCAAGAAAACAGCCAAACTCAGAGAGCAACAAGGATGTCATAGTCCTCCTCCTCCCCTTCCTCCTCCTCACACTGATGATGTTACCTAGTTGGGTAATAAAATGTCTGCAAGAAAACAACCAAGCTCAGAGAGCAACAAGGATGTCATAGTCGTCCTCCTCCCCTTCTTCCTCCTCCTCCTCCTCCTCCTCCTCCTCCCCCCCCCACTGGTGATGTTACCTAGTTGGGTAATAAAATGTCTGCAAGAAAACAACCAAGCTCAGAAAGCAACAAGGATATCATAGTCGTCCTCTTCCTCCTCCTCCTTCCTCCTCCTCCTCCTCCTCCTCCTCCTCCTCCTCCTCCTCCTCCTCCCCCCCCCACTGATGATGTTACCTAGTTGGGTAATAAAATGTCTGCAAGAAAACAGCCAAGCTCAGAAAGCAACAAGGATATCATAGTCGTCCTCCTCCTTCTCCTTCCTCCTTCTCCTCCCCTTCCTCCTCCTCCTCCTCCTCCTCCTCCCTCCCGCACTGATGATGTTACCTAGTTGGGTAATAAAATGTCTGCAAGAAAACAGCCAAGCTCAGAAAGCAACAAGGACTCCATTCTGAATACTAGGTGCTGCCGAGGCCTGGATTGGCCCGTGTCCATCTTTTTTCTTTCTTTCTCCCTCTTCCATTCCAGATTTTTTGAGCTCGGAGCTCCTGGCTGCCCGGCTCCAGGCCAGGAAAACGGTCCAGTCAGCAAAGCAGGTCGACAAAAATAGCGCAGCCTTGCGAGAACTCCATCAGATCTGCCAAGCCCTGGGGATGCCTGAGCCAGACCCGGCGTCCTCCGTGGCTCAGGTTATGGAGGATATTGGATCCCAGGTGGGACTGAAGGGGCAGGCAGACCTGGGATGGGCAGGTGGGATCCTGGGAGGAGCAGTTCGGCCTCTGTCCTTTTCGATGTCGAAAGGCCTGAAGCGGCCCAGCTACTTGCCGAGGGAGGGGATATACAATAGTCCTCGACTTACGAACATCCGTTTAGCGACTGAAGTTAACAGTGGCGCTGAAAATTAATGGAACGAGTTGTGGGTCCTCCCACCAATGGAGATTTGTAAGGACAACATTTGTCTGGAACGGTCTAGGGCAGGGGTCTGCAAGCTTGACAACTTGGAAGACTTGTGGACTTCAGCTCCCAGAATTCCTCAGCCAGCATAGCTGGCTGAGGAATTCTGGGAGCTGAAGTCCACAAGTCTTCCAAGTTGTCAAGGTTGCAGACCCCTGGAATAGGGTTTCCTGCCTGAGCAGAGGGTTGGACTAGAAGATCTCAGAGGTCCCTTCCAACTCCTGTTATTCTGAAAAAGGTGATCTGTGGCTGGTCCTCGCGCTTACGAGCCCTGGCGACGCAGTGGCTAGAACGCAGAATGGCAGGCTGACTCTGCCCACCGCCAGGAGTTCGATCTTGACGGCTCTCCAGGTTGACTCAGCCTTCCGTCCTTCCCAGGTCGGACAAATGAGGACCCCAGATTGTTTGGGTGTGTGCGTGTCAAGAGGCGACAAATGCTTACTTTGTCAGTCCCCCAGAGAGTGCTGTATTCCAAGTGCGGTCTTAACCGAGGCCTTACGAAGTGGCCTGAACACTTAATTGCGTCGTTAATAATTGTATTATCTGCCTCTTTCTCTTGCTCCGAAAGCTAACTCCGTGCTTCCTTCAGGTTTCAGAGGCACTTGCCGTGCAGACGCTGCAGTCCCAGTGGCCACCACCGCTCCTGAAGGCCCCTTTGACCTCTGAGCAATGGGTAGGGGAGCTGTTGTGTTTGCCGCAGAGGAGGTGGTGGTGGGGGTCTTCCTGGTCTGGTGCTGGTGGAGCTTAAGCATCTCTGCTTTCTCGCTCTCCTTAAAATACCAGGAAGCGCTGGAGGAGATTAACCAAGTGCTGGGGGCTGAATACCGGTGCCGAAGACACATGATGCTCACCCGTTTCGACGTCACCGTGGCCTCCTTCCATTGGTCTGAGAGGGCCAAGGTAGCGTCAAGGAGCTGTTGTATTAGCAGCATTGATTTCATCCCATGACTGACTGACTGACTGATGGGTTGATTGATAGCCCTCCTTTATTAGTTTTTAATAACTCAAGAGAGGGAATGTATCCGACCCACTGTCCTATTTTCCCTAAAACAACCCTGTGAGGTGGGTTGGGTTGAGAGAGAAAGACTGGCCCAAAGTCACCCAGCCGGCTTTCATGTCTAAGGCAGGCTAGAACTCACCGTCTCCTGGTGATTAGCTCAAAGTCACTCGCCTGGCTTTCATGTCTAAGGCAGGACTAGAACTCACCGTCTCCTGGTGATTGGCTCAAAGTTACCCACCCGGCTTTCATGTCTAAGGCAGGACTAGAACTCACCGTCTTTCTAGCCTAGTGCCTTAACAACTAGACCAAACTGGAATTGGGGAAGAGAGACACCACGACTGTCTCAGGATTCTTGCTGTGTTTCTCATCTCTCGTCCCGGCTAGAACCGAAGCACAGCCATGTCCAAAGCCTTCCAGCCCTTGCGGCAGTCTTTGCCGGAAGACGCCCAGCTCGGCCTTGCCCACCTGCTGGCTGCCCGGGAGGACTTTTCTCGCATCGTCAAGACCAGCAGCGGTGCCTTGCGGAGCAAAACCAGTTGTGCTGTCAATAAGGTATGAGCTGGAGGGGACATCTGGGTCACCAGCAGCTGGAGGGGGAGGGAGGAGAACCCTTGGGGGGGGGTTTCAAGCTCTTCAGGCTTAGCCCATCCCCCAATGCCAGGTCATGCTGTTTACTCAACCGACTATGGTTGGGTATAGCAAAACCCTGACTTTACATCTCAGCTTTGCCTTCTCAAAGGAATCTTGGGGTGGAGAGGCAGAGGAGGGAAGATACTGGTGTCCTCTTCCTTCATCCTTCCCTTCCTTCCTTCCTTCCTTCCTTCCTTCCTTCCTTCCTTCCTTCCTTCCTTCTCTCTCTCTCCTGTCTTTCCTTTTTCTTCCTCCCTCCCTCCCCTTTCCCCTTCCTTTCTTCCCTTTCCCCTTCCTTCTCCCTCTCTCCTGTCTTCCCTTTTCCTTCCTTCCTTCCTTCCTTCCTTCCTTCCTTCCTTCCTTCCTTCCTTCCTTCTCTCTCTCTCCTGTCTTTCCTTTTTCTTCCTCCCTCCCTCCCCTTTCCCCTTCCTTCCCCTTCCCCTTCTCCCTCTCTCCTGTCTTCCCTTTTCCTTCCTTCCTTCCTTCCTTCCTTCCTTCCTTCCTTCCTTCCTTCCTTCCTTCCTTCCCTCTTTCTCCTCCCTTTCTTTTCCTTCCTTCCTTCCTTCCTTCCTTCCTTCCTTCCTTCCTTCCTTCTTTTCCCTTTCTCCTCCCTTCCCTTTCGCTTTCTTTTCCCTTTTCCTTCCTTCCTTCCTTCCTTTTCTCCCTCTCCTCTCCTTCCTCCCTCCCACAGGTGTTGATGACCGGCAGCGTCCCAGACCGGGGAGGACGTCCGAACGAAATTGAGCCCCCCATGCCCACCTGGGAGAAGAGGAGAGACGGAGGTGGTGGTGGTGGTGGAGGCGGCCAGCGCTGGGCTAAACGGGGCAAGAAAAAGAAGAAATAAGGAAGAGGGTATTAAACCGGCTGCTGTGGGTTGGCCTGGCCAGAAAATGAAACGAAAGAAGCCACAGATTCTCGCTGAAAGCGTCAAATCCTCAGTCTTGCCTTTCTCCAGCATGGAGCCAAGGCAGCTTTAACTAAAGGTGGGGTTCTTTAAGCCAGCTCCCATAATCCAAAGACTGTGCTGACTTTAGGAGAAGCGTAATTCTCCTAAGCGATGGGGAAGGTTGGGGACGAGAGGCCGCGTGCCATATCGACTGGGTTGATTTAAAGGTTTGGAAGCTGCTAAGCATTTGTGGGCTGCTTGAAATCCAAAAATCAGTATTTTGTGTTTGGAGTTAATTTCCCCCAAAGCAAACGTCACTCCAAAACGTCTTGGAACGGGAAGGAGGATGTGGAAGAAGGATAAGATCAATGGGCTTTGATCTAGATTTCTGCTGTAAAAAAAAATTAAAAGATTCCACACTGGGTGTCTGTTAATCCAGAAGCAGAAACGCATAAAATATTGCTGGGGTGGGGGTTATGATTGCCTCTTTTCTCCTTGTTGATTATCTTGAGGTTTTTGTTTTTGGTTTTTTTAAAAACCTTTTTTAGAGGACAGACGACTAGAACTTTCTTAATCTCCAGTCAGCAGATCTGCCAGCTTCCCTGGCTGGGGAATAAGGGAATTGTGGCCTATGCCTGTGGGAGACCCAGAATGATCATATGTATTGATGGCCCAGTGGCCTTTTGTGTTTAACAAAAAAAAAAAGGGGGGGGGCTGTCAGGTGTTGTTTCAGGATGGGACAAATAGACACGTTTGACAATTAGCCGCCTGGGATCACTAGCGCAGCTCTGATATTAATTGTTCTCACTCAGCCCAAACGCTTGCTGTGTAAAGATCCTGTTCAAAATAAAACTCTTTTATTTTTCTGCCTTCTGGTTGGCTGTGTAGCGGGGGAATTCCACCCATCTTAAAAGCATGGGAGTTGAAGTCCACCCATCTTAAAAACATGCTGGCTGGGGAATTCTGGGAGTCGAAGTCCATCCATCCGAAAGCTGCAGGCGGTCCTGTCCTCATGGCCAGGGTTGTTGTTGTTTTTGTTTGTTTGTTTGTTTTGCCATTTCTGGGTATTTTGCAATGGGCCTGCGTGATTGAACATCTGGTCGTTGAAGCTCACCCCCTTCCGCCTTTTGACATTTCTCAGGGACATTCAAACCGGTTACTTTTAGGTTAGGGATATTAATGCCGCTGGTATTCATTCTTGTGCTCTTTATTCACAAATCCCCAAAACGGCCAGAGCCATAAAATGGGGCAGTGCGTACTTTAAAAAAACAACATAATAAATAAATACAAATCTGTAGCTGCACGGTAAAGGGGGCAGATTCGCGCTGTTCCTTCTAGGCCTGCAAAGGTGGTTAAAAAGGAAAGATCCTCCTGGAAATTCGACAAAAACTCCTAGGACAGCAGCTATTCTCGGCTGCCGATTTTTCCTTTTTCTTGCCGTTTTAATTTTGCAGCTTCCTCCACCAGTCTCTTCTCCTGATCTCCAGCACGTTGAGGCTCAAGGCTTGCCCGTCGGGAAAGCTCTCCAGTTACTAGAGTTTGCAGCAGAGAACAGCAACCAAAGAGCCGATTTCAGACAAACCGGGGGGCGATTTCGTACGGGGACCCCGGACTGCTGGCTTTCAGGAGCCGCCTGTTCTCGGCCTCCAGCTGTGTGTAGCGGTTCTGAAGACACTGGTTGGCGGTGACCAGCCTGTCCCGTTCCTGCAGGTCAGAGAAAGCGGTTTAGAGAAGAACCAAGGACACCGCTCAGGGTGATGGGAGGCTGACATGTAAACCCCCCCCCGGTGCTCCCCGAGCTTGGTGGCTTTCTTGCAGATGTTTTATTACAAGGTTGACTCAGCCTTCTGAAGTCAGTAAAATGAGGACCCAGTTTGTTGATGTGCTGATTCTGTAGACCACTTAGAGAGGGCTGTAAAGCACTGTGAAGCGGTATATAAGTCTAAGTGCCCTCCCTCCCTCCCTCCTTCCTTCCTTCCTTCCTCACTTCCTTCCTCCCTCCCTCCCTCCTTCCTTCCTTCCTCCCTTCCTTCCTTCCTTCCTTCCTTCCTTCCTTCCCAGTGGTTAGAATGCAGTATTGCAGGCTGACTCTGCCCACTGCCAGCAGTTCGATCCTGACCTTCTCAAGGTGGACTCAGCCTTCCATCCTTCCGATGTCACTAAAATGAGGACCCGGATTGTTGGGGGCAAGAGGCTGACTCTGTAACCCACTTACTAGAGGGCTGTCAAGCATCGTGAAGCAGTATATAAGTCTAAGGGCTAAGCGCTATTGCCTTTGTCAAACTAGGCAACGTTCTCAAAGCGAGTGGGGTTGGCTCTTATTTTTATATGCTAGTTTTCATATACTGTTTTATATATTTATACATGAGCAGCTTGCCCTGTCAGTGTTAATGGGTGTGTTCTCAGTGATTCCTTGATTTTGCTGTTTACTGTTGGCTTGTTTGGCGGTTCTTTGATTGGGGTGTTGTTTACTTCTTATAAACAAGAAGTAAACAGTATTTCTTAATACCCCAGTGAAAGAATTGCTGAACAAGCTAACAGTAAATGGCCCAAATCAAAGGAAAGACCACTCCCACCAACACTGACAGGGCATGCTACTAGTCTATAAAAATAAGAACAAACCCCCCTCCCTTCTAACACTGATGCTGTTACCTAGTTGGGTCATGAACCGTCTGCGAGAAAACAGCCAAGCTCAGAGAGCACCAAGGACCCCATAGTTCTCCTCCTCTCCTCCATCTCCTTTCTAGAACTGATGATGTGCCCTAGTTGGGTCATGAAATGTCTGCAAGAAAACCACCCAGTTCAGAAAGCACCAAGGACCCCACATTCTTTCTCCTCCTCCTCCTCCTCCCACTCTGCAAACCCCTCTCCCTTCTAGCACTGATGATGCTATCTAGTTGGGTCATGAAACGTCTGCAAGAGAGCACCAAAGGCCCCACAGTTCTACCTTGAGCTATAAATATTCTCCTTTATTGGTAACATATAGGCATCTGTCAAGCTTCGAGACACAGGTAGTCCTTGACTTAACAATTATTATGGAGCCTGGTCATAAGTCATGACTGTCAGAAGCTGAATCACCCAATTTCACCAGCTCTTTTTGAGGTGGATGTGCACAATGCCACGGTCGTTAAACCAGCCACTGGTTCTCTAGGGAGGCAATTTTGGCCAGTAAATGCCTATTTTCGACCGAGCTGTCGTAAAATGTGTTCATGATCCTGTAAGATACCGCAAACGGGCTAGGAAATTCTGGGAAGTGGATCCCACCCATTTTAAAATGCCTTGGGGGGTGAGTTGAGAAACAATGAGTTCCACAATGATTTCCCCTGCCCGTATCCTCACCTTTTCCAGCTCTTTCACCAGTTCCAGGAGCTGCTTCTGAGTTTTGTTGCAACCATCCAGCGGCCGTTCCTCCTGCTCTTCAACTGCTGGGCTAGCCTGCTCCGTCTGGGTGGAGGCATGTTTGATCAGCCGGCTGCCCGGGCTGGTGGACAACGAGACCATGGGACTCCTGCCCTGTTCCCATCCCGGTGGGAAGAGAAACATTTCTTCCTCCGAGCCTGCAAGGTGAAAAAAAGAGGCCAGGTTAGCCACAGGATAAAGACATCAGTCCAGATCTCAGACACAGGAGATGCTGTTGGGGTGATTCTCGCCTCTTTGGCCAGGTGATCTTCGAAGCGAAGCGGTTCATCTTCAGGCTGCAATAACCTGGGATGGGATACTGCAGGTAGCAATAGCAATAGCCACTTAGACTTATATAGCACTCCACGGTACTTTACAGCCCTCTCTAAGTGGTTTATGGAGTCAGCCTGTTGCCCCCTCCCCCAACAATCTGGCTCCTCATTTGACCGACCTCGGAAGGATGGAAGCTCACTCAACCTTGAGCCGGTCAGGATTGAACTCCTGGCAGTGGGCAGAGTCACCATGCAATACTGCATTCTAACCACTGGGAAGGGAAGGAAGGAAGGGTACTTAGACTTATATACCACTTCACAGTGCTTTACAACCCTCTCTAAGTGGTTTACAAAGCCAGCATGTTGCCCTCCAACAATCTGGGTCCTCATTTGACCGACCTCAGAAGGATGGAAGGCTGAGTCAACCCTGAGCCGGTCAGGATTGAACTCCAGGCTGTGGGCAGAGTCAGCCTGCAATACTGCATTCTAACCACTGGGAAGGAAGGAAGGATACTGAGACTTATATACTGCTTCACAGTGCTTTACAGCCCTCTCTAAGCAGTCTACAGAGTCAGCACATTGCTCCCAACAATCCGAGTCCTCATTTTACCGACCTCAGAAGGATGGAAGGCTGAGTCAACCTTGAGCCGGTCAGGATCGAACTGCAGGCAGTGGGCAGTCAGCAGAAGTAGCCTGCAGTAGTGCATTCTAACCACTGTTCCACCATGGCTCTCAACAACCACACCTGAGCCCAAAATTTCCGTTGCTAAGCAAGGCAGTTGTTAACTGAGTTCTGCCCCTTTGCCAGAGTTGTTAACCGAATCATTGTGGTTGTTAAGTCAACAACCGGACATTGTTAAGGGAATCGGGCTTCTTCCCCATTGACTTTGCTTGTCCGAAGGTCGCCAGAGGGGATCCCAGTGACCTCAGGACGATGCAATCGTGCTAAACACATGCCTGTTGCTAAGCGGGCGGATTTTGATGCGACTCTGGAGGTGGGGCAACAGTCGTAAGCGTGAGTCACTTTTTTTCAGTGTCGTTGTAACTTTGAACCCTGGCTAAGCGAACGGTTGTCAGTCCAGGATTACCTGTGCAGGTAAACCTCGGCTTAACGATCATAAATTGGAAGCAGAATCTCCGTCAACTAAGCAAGGTGGTTGTGCAATGTTTTTTGTTTTACTTTTTTAACCCCCAACGACCCAGGTTACCAGAGCTGGGATGGTGACTGGTGGCCAGCGTGGCGGTGCGCGGTGTGCTGTCGGAGGAGGAAGAGGAGGAGGAGGAAAGGAAGTGGCGACTTTGACACTCCAACTCCACCTGGTTCTTGCAGTGTTTGTGACAGATCATGGAACAATCTGGAGAGGATAACCAAAAAAAAAAAAAAAACCCCAAAAAGGCTTCAATTCAAAGCAATGAGAAGATGGCGCCTCGCCCCAATGGCTCCTGCCTCCCCCATCTTCTCCAGCCTGGTACTACAACACCCATAGGGCTGGGTCAAGGCACTTTTATTGCTTCAGCACTAAAGTATACTTTTTTCTCTCTCTCCCCGCCCGAAGCAGGAATGTGACTGAAGAGTCAAACTCCAAACGAGGAGCAGAGGAGGTCAGGAGCGCAGTTCATAATAATTTCATTTAAGATATTTAAATTTAATAACCGGAGCAGGGGAGTTGTGCAGTTGTGGCGAATTGGTACCAGAGTGTAAAAGGAGGTGTTTCTTCCCCCCCCCCACGTATTTTTCCTGGGTGTGCTTTGTAATTTACCTCACGACTGACCTGCGGTGTTGATTTACCTCAGGAGGATGCTCCTGTTTGCCTGACTGTCTAGTTTGGTGTAGATATAAATTTAAATTTGCTTATATGAAACTACGGGTTTGTGTCAGCCTCTGCGGCTTCATTTGGACACCGGCTGACAATTTCCTGGTGTTGATAGTGAGTAAAGGTGAATTTTAGTTATTGTGAGGAGGATTCTCCAGCTTAATACAGTCTCCTGGATGCTTTTGAGCTGGGTTGTTTTCTGGCAGACGTTTCATTACCA